ACGGCGGCGGGAGCCACGTGTCGCACACACCGGACCCCAATGAAACCACAAGGCGCTTCCCAGCATCAGAGTACTGAACGTTATGTTATCGTTATTCACCACTAAATGTCCGGGTGGGCTGTAAAACCACTGACCCCTGCAAATAATCACGGCATATTCATGGCAGCTAAAAGACAACAGAAGCACGAAACAAGTCAATCAGACAGACTGACGCCGGCTGCATGCGAACTGCACTGGATTGACGACATTCCGACTGGGTGCCGGCGCAGCAGCGGCGACCGTGGCCAGCTCACCTTTCGAGCCGGTCCAGCGCGGCGCCGTTCCGCAGCCAGGGGTTGGGCGCACCCGTGCCGATGCCGTGCAGGAATCGGCCATTCCGCAGCCGGTAGCCGCTCTTCCGACTCAGCACCACCGTCAGCACGTTCTTCAGACATTGCTGCCGGCGGCGGGGAGGGGTCGGGGCCGTGGCGGCAAGGGCGCAGCGCCAGACGGAACCACGTGCCAGCCAGACAATGCTGATCGCAGCACGACTCCACCCTAGCGGCTGCTTGTTCTGTTTCCGCCTGACATCGCCAGGAGATCTGAGCATTACCCCAACTTCGCTCCACGCAGCCAGGTATGTGCCGCAGACATCACATATCACATGGCACCATGCCAGTCCGTCTCATGGCAATGGCCTGAATGGCCTCCAGGATGTTCCCCGGGCCGATCCTAGGACGGCGGGTATCTCCTGGTACCTGCCGATCATATCTCATGATGCCTAATCCCGCACTGCTCGTGACAACGGGCATCATCCGATACTGAACCTCCAAGCAGTAGCCAGCTCCGCCTCCAAGGAATCCTGGAAACCAGTTTCACAGGGCCTTCCAGCGAACACTACCCGAACAGAACGTCTCCATGCACCGGCACCCCTTGTTCCATCCACGGTCACGACGCTCGGTACCGAACAACAAATTACGCCTAGGAATAACGACCCCGACTCTCCCCTGCCGACCGCGCACATCCGCCACTGACCTGGACGGCGAGCATGACAACGTCGACGGCGGCGTCGGCCACGCCGTCGATGCCGGCGTGCCAGGCGGCCAGGTACATCCGGCCGTGCACCAGCCGGCGGTCGGGCAGCACGCGGCGGCGCGTCACCAGGGGCGCACCCTCGTCGGCCGGCGCCGGCTCCGGCGGCGGAGGCGGCGGCGTGGCACGCGTCGGCGAGCCCACCCACTGCGCCGGCTCGGCGGGCTCGTACCGGTGCTGCCGGCGGCGACGGCGACTGTCAGCACGGACGCCGCGGCCGCAGGACGGGTCGGGCCCGAGGCGGGGCGCGCCGGAGCCGGTCCCGGCCATAGACATCCGCACACACGGCGGACACGCGAGAGAGGGAAGACAGCATCCAGGCACCGCCTTCGGTGGCCACTTATGCAACAGAGAATGACGAGCGGTCGTGGAAGGCGTGGACGCGAACGGAAATCAGTGGGAGGAGGATATAGCTCACCTAGTGACGATCACACAAGGTAATTGGTGGGAACAAGTAATGGCACAGCAATGGTGACCGTGCAACGCCACTGTAGTCGTCAAATACAATTCATCAGCACACTCGCCAACACATGACGCGCGAAACGACACATACAATTTATGAAGCCAATATACAATTCTTAATAAATACACACCGCTCCACAATGGCCAGATTTATTTCGTGTTGAAGGTTAAGATAAACAAAAAACAACACACACACACACACAGTGCAAATAATCTAATGTATGAGTTCACCATAAAAATGTAAGCAGATGCCATGGTTAACATATTTCCAAACCACTACCCCATTAAAACAGTTCCTTTGGTTATTTTATGATTACTTGTATCATGTCATCCATTATTGCTTTGGGGGCATATATCCATCATTATATCTAGTTGCCATCGCATGGTAGTATCAACAACCATTTCGACCACCATTTCCACCCCCACCATTTCCTATCACTAGAAGAGCAGTGTTGTGGCACTTGCAGTTGTTATGGGGATCAGGACCTCCCCAGACTTCATGTAAATTAACATTAGATCCATGGCCTAACTCCTTCAGAAAAAATAATGATTTAATTGTTTAATAATTCCATTATCTAAAGCGTGACAAGGTCCTGGATTATGAATAACGGATTATTAGGACGTCGTTAATCCACATGAGAGGGAGGATACAGCGCACTTCTGGCACTGCTATGTGCTATCCGGAGCATGCTATGATAGAACTACTTCTGCACTTGGGACCTTTTCCTACCTACCTATTGTCCTTCATCACAATCTGCCAAGCATGGTACACAACCCCTCTGAAGCGCGGCAACTCACGGAGAAAGGCGACGGGGGTCGCTTCCTACGTTTCTTGGCAGCCGGAGCCCTCGTTTGGCTCTTGATCATGGCCACCTTGTCCCGGAGCTGCGAGGATGCCCCAGACTCCTCCGAGGGAACGTCGCTAAAGCGGAACACATCGGCATATTAGCTGAGAACGACGTAACATGAGCTGCCAGTGCTACCTAGAGGATACATTTCATCACAGCTTATTCTATTTCACTATCATCCGTCAGTATGCATGTTTGTCAGATGTTTACATCATGATTGATGTTGGTAACAAGAAAAGATCTTGGAAGTGGTACAGTGAGCACAATATATTGCAACATACTAGGATGATGATACTTTATGGTTGTGATGATCTAGCATACAGCCACAACTGGAAAACCTGATGCTCCTTTACAGTATTTACTAGGTGGTCTTTCACAAAAAGGACAGAGCCAAAAACACATCAGAAACTTACCCAAGATGACATTTGTTGAGCAGTGCTAGCAAGAAGTTGTTGTGCAGGTGAACTTGGTGAACTGGGAGAAGTGTCCTTGACTTAGCATCAAACTCTTCTTTGGATATCTGGGAAGCATCTGCCTAATTAAACTCTGCTGGCCAAAGGGTTCTCCATAGCCTCTGCCAAGACAAAAGCCATGCATGCTCATGACCAGCAAAAGGTGGCATTTGATGGTTGTTGTGAAACTACATCACAGTGTGTAAGTCAAGACTGAATACAGCTGGCCTAGACCAGGTTCAGACCTGCACATCTGAGCATATATTATTCATATAGCATGCTGTTTATTACATTATCTACATTTTACATAGATTTTAACAATGAATAATAAATTTTGGCCACTTAACTATAAAAAGACCAGGGAATGCAATATATCCTACCATGTATATGACACAATATTGGGATGACTCAAAGCAGATAATCTGCTTGAAAAATTGGGGGACAAGCTCCTCAAAGAGTCAAGGGACTATGCTACACCACCTTTGACCAAAGCATATATAGTGTAAATGTTTACTTACTTTTACTTTGAACCACAGCTTCAGATTTGTAAAATATCTGCAACATTAGAAGAACAGCAAAAAAGCTGTTACCATTTGTGCACCATTAGCATGTCTACAAACACTGGCATATAGCTTAACTTGAATTTAACATCTAGTGCAGCACATAACAAAAAATTATCATATGAATTTACAGGAATTCATCCATGACCTGACCTTACAATCAAACATCTCAGCAACATTAAAACAAAAAAGTTTGAATTCAGGTGCATGATTATATGAGAACAAGCAATGTAAAGGGGTAGAGTATACACAAAATGATTAAGAATGACAAAATGTAAGCACTAACTGTTTGGTTCCTTCTTCCCCCAATCCAGCTTCCAATTCATGTCTTGCCTTATTCAAATCATCCATGGATGCTTTTAACACTATGCCAGTGCAAATGTTTGCTGAAACATAAAAGCCACATATGTTAAATCAGATTTTCACATAGTTACAGCAAATGTTATGAAACAGCTAGCTTCAAGGAAAATGGAAAAACAGTGTACATTTGCCACAGCATAAGCAATAAAAGGTCAAAAGTGACAGACACCAAGCACCCATCTACAGGCATGCTAGAAATAGTTGAGACAAGCCCTACTTGTGGATATCCATAAATAGGTAACCAAAATCACCCCTGAATTGTGACCATGAAAAGCTTGCACCCCCTACCTGGTGATGGCTTTTAGCATTACCCTTGGCTGCCTATTACACAAGCTTGGATAACATCTAAGATTAATGCTAATTCCAAAAGAACCATGGTGTTTAGAATACAAATGAGACATAACTGACCACAAAAATGGAAGAACAAGGGCCCCAGGTTTTCTAATTTGTGAAGAAATAGGATGACATTAAGGATCAAGCCCTTTTTGGCAAAGGTAAAAAGCAGATTTAATAATTTGTCCTGTTGAACTGCCTTTTCAATTCACAAACTACACACCTGTTTTAACCTTTATTGCCAGCCTACATGAATAGGGAAGCTTGCCTTTTCAAACGATCTAATTGCAGACACTGAATAATGGACATTGCTCTAGATGAAGCAACAGTTATTTTCATACATGTAGCAAACAACCATGAATATCTCCATATGGTGCTTTGTATGGCAATCATGCTAATGGTAATGGTCAGTTTTAATCAACTTCACTTATTGCATTGAAAAGTATCTAACATACAATAGTTCAATTTTAATAGGTAATAGCTATACACGGGCAGCATTAGAGTTGAACACTGCAGGATGCACATCCGCCTGATGATGCACGGACCACAAAAACGCGCAAAAACGTGAAAATGGAGGAAGGATGCAAGCAGAAATACAAATATAAAATAACAAAAACAAATAAACCCATAACAGTTACAAAGACAATGGCCGTGGAACCAAACGCAGCAGCAACACCTCCCCAAATACCATGATTTCCAGTACGTATCCGAGGTCGTATGTCGTGTCTGCGAAGTTAGATAACTTTGCGCATTGCAGACAAGCATTGGTGCCATAACTGCTCACGATCAGCTAAACCTGCTAGTGTTTGCGCGTTACAACGATTGGTTCGAAACTGGAAATGACAGCCACTACTATTGGGTGTCGAATTCATCTTCAATCTAACAGATATTTCACCTCTTGATTGAACGGATTTATTGTTGCACTTTATGCAGTACAGTCCATAATATTGCAAGTTCTGAGCTAACCATTTAAGAGATTTAGAAACTCGAGCAGGCTTTCCGTTAGCACTTGACATCATGACTCGTCGACGAACATGCGCAACTGTCGTGATGCGGATTGTTTCGGCCAGTACTTGCGGTGGCTACATCGCATTTGTGAATGGTGATGATAGGCGGGCTGATACATCGAGGCCGTGACCTGTCACGGAGACCGCGTTCGTATTTTGGCAAGATGGGAGATGTGGATAAATGGATAGATATTGCGAAAGACTGCAAATATCTCCCCGAAAACGACCTAAAGGTTGGTTTTGTCATGATGTTGAAGGGCTTATGGTTACGGGAAAGTAGTCGAGTTAGGACGTAGAATGTGTGGACACGATCACCTGAAGGATGCGGTGCCTTCCTCTTTGCGTGAGTTCTGATATGGTTTGCTGATTATGTTCTGTTTGGACCTTAGCTTAGACTGCTTGAGATAAGGTGCTGTGTATAGATGGAAGTGTGCGGGAGTGATAGGCACATGGTTCTTTTAGTTAGTTTGGTCATAGCCCAATGCAAAGACTGAAGGTAGATATTTTAGTCGGTCAGTATTTGTTTTGAATACTCATTTTCTATGGAGTAAATTGCTTGTTTACTTTCTTTATCACCATCAAACAGTCTCTTAATTGAGTCATATGCTGCTTGTGGCCTTCAAATGGTTCTTTATGTAGGTAGAATCAGTGAGATATTTAACATTTGTATTTTGATGAGTAGGCTCAGAAAACATAGGGGTGCTCAGACATCAGAAGAAGAGCAAAAGAAGATGGTGGATGGGGCCTGAAACACAAATTGATGCCCTTGTAAAACTAAACTTGTACTAAGTTATATGGTTTATCCCTTCAGTGTACATAGACATTTCATATACCCTTATTCTGGAGGATCAATTTTGTTTTATAAAAGATGATGCATTGGGAATGACAATGTCTTGACCTTTTTCAACTGTTTGAGTTGTGTGATGAATTATTCTCAAATTTACAATGACTTAGCTTAACTCTGCTTTTAACAAATGGTTCATGTTTGAAACTGTTCTGCAGGTGGCACATCACTTGAGCCATGGTATATATATATATATATATATATATATATATATATATATATATATATATATTTATATATATATATGACTTATTATGACTGATGCATTTCCTGGCAAAGAACACATAGTGAAGCAAATTCAGTTTTCAGTCTGATTAAGGCAGCTGTTAGGCAGCAGCTAACAATTCCTTTTTTCATTCAAGACTCAGTTGTGCCATATCACCAAAAGTAGCATCCTGATCAGACTAGTTCTTTGCTAATCAAACTTGAGAGATACACATATGCCTGAAGTTCAAGACCTGTCCGGCAGACATTTAAGGCAAACCTGCTGCTTAAAACCATAAGTAACTGAAGATAAACACAGATATTTGGGTTTGAGAGAAAGGGGCTAGAGGTGATTAAAATAAGTGAAACAAAAGTATGCAAGTGTGCTGAAGAAATATGTTGGTTAGCCAATCATTTATTTAACTAATAAGTGGAAGTCTGCAATACTACATGACAATTGGTAACCTGAATGATATCAGATAAAGAAGCATTTCATGATTTTTTTATTGCTGATGTTCCTGTTGTATGAGCACCATGTTGTACAAACAGTTTTTAGTCATATTCATATAAGCCAGTTGACCTGTTGTGAAGTCTGCGAAAAGTCCTTTAATCAGAAGCTTCTCTCTTTCAACACATAGCAATCATTTTAAGCTTGGACCACTGTGTTCTGTACAGCATGGACCACTGTGGCCACTATGTGCAGTATGAGCTTTAGAAGTAAGGTAATGTTTTGAGTGGGCAAGTATTTTAGTAGTTGAAGGAATGAACCAATGAAGAGGCTCTGCTTTGGAAAAGGCTTCAAGAAATTTGGTGGGACGAAGATGGTTGGTGGGAGATTTTTTTATCTGCAGGTCAGAAAGATCAAATCCCTTTGCTGTGCTCAACTGCACTGAAGCAAAGATAAGGCATAATTTCAAGCAAAATAATGGAAGAAATAATGGAAAGCAGTTTCTGAAGACCAGTTGGTGCCAGGGAAGTGACATATCTGCTTCCCACCCCCAGAAATGCCATAAAAACCACTCCTGCATGTGTGAGGTGGGTGAACCAGACCAGTGCACTATTGCTGTCCTCTGTCCAGCCAACAAACAAGAGATTTCCTCCTCTGAGTTGTCCCTGGCCAGCAGCTGACATGGAACTCTTTTGTATCCGCGCAGGCACGTCGATGCCACGTCACCCTATGATCCCTCGACGAGATCTGCCACCAGCCTACACTTGACATCTTGTAGCTCCTTGTTCAAGCTCATATTTTCTCATGCATCTTATCCTGCCTATCCCTACCTGTCTGGGGTGGGGCCACCCACTGAAACCTGCATTACATTCAAAAGGTAGTGAGCTTTGCAGCCCAGCCAGTTACGATGTTGCGGTGCCCTGATCCCATTTCGCCTGCTCTGGAATCGGTGGGGTGGCGAAAGGATGGCGAGATTGCATGCTAGCACCACTGCCATCAAGTGCATAGAGACATGGATGGCACTCTCGCGTCCACTCGCAGTCCAGACCGTGTCTTGTTAAGCGAGTCCAGGTGTCGGGAGGAAGGCCCGTGTCGTGGCTGCTGGAGCGCTCCAGCTTGCAAGTGTTGATTGATAGGCGCCCAGCGAGCTCTGGCGCTCAGATCGGCATTGTCTTGGAGCGGCACGCCTGCTGGCAACGCGGCACCGGTGCCCCGCCTGTCCGTGTGCACGGCCATGATGGGGATACGCGCGGCTTTTATCGCCCTCGCAGTGTGGTTGTGCCGTGTGTAAGTTCCGCTATTTAGACCCAGTTTTAGAATCAAATCGCATCATTGAGAGACGTTAACTGTACTCGGTCTTGGTCGGAAATGTCTTCTGGCAAGTTGTGCCCCCAAATATTTTCCTGCTCAAACCCATGTCTATGACCTGAGCATGTTCGGCTATCTCATCTTTCCAGATGCTTGGACACCATCTGATCATTTCAGGCAGCTGCCAGCTATTGATGCACGGTGAGCAGCGTGATTTTCTGGAGCCGACTGGCGGCGTCACGTCGTCTGTATGCTGTGTCTGCTTTGTTACAGAGCTTGTGTGATGCTGTGTGTGACCTGTTGATGGAGGAGTCCAACATTCAACCAGTCCCTTGTCCAGTCACAGTCTGCGGAGATATCCATGGACAGTTTTACGACCTGGAGGAACTCTTCAGAACTGGCGGACAGGTGAGAAAGACGAGTGTATCCAGCACCGCTGTTTTGCCATTTTCCGTATATTTAGTACTGGAGGCCTAAAGTAGCCAAGTGTAGCTAGTTGCGTTGCAGACAACGAGTAGCTGTGCAATTGTAGCAGCGTGGTATTTTAACATGATGTTTATTTGGCAGTGTGTGGTTATTTGACACTTCCAACACATCTACCGCGTCAGTGCAACGAAAACTGTCACCTTGTAGCCTGCAGAGGCGTCGGGGCAGTGGCCGCACGGCTGCTGAGGCAGACGCGGCTGCCAGCGGTGCGCTCTCCACCACTGATCGAGAGCGCCATCTGCCCAGGTGCCCGACACCAACTACGTGTTCCTGGGCGACTTCGTGGACCGCGGCTACTACAGCCTGGAGACGCTGACGCGCCTGCTGACGCTCAAGGCCAAGTGGCCCGACAAAATCACGCTGCTGCGCGGCAACCACGAGTCGCGCCAGATCACCCAGGTGTACGGCTTCTACGGTGAGTGGCGCTGGTGCTGCGCGTGGCCGCCCAGCCGTCCAGCAGCAGTCGCGCCAGATAACCCAGGTGTAAGGCTTCTACGGTGAGTGGCGCTGATGCTGCGCCATCCGGCCGCCCAGCCGTCCGACGGCGGCCGCGTCAGGTCACCCGGGTGTACGGCTTCTACGGTGAGTGGCGCTGATGCTGCGCCATCCGGCCGCCCAGCCGTCCGACGGCGGCCGCGTCAGGTCACCCGGGTGTACGGCTTCTACGGTGGGTGGCGCTGATCCTGCGCGTGGCTGCCCAGCCGTCCAGCAGGAGTCGCGCCACATCACCCGGGTGTACGGCTTCTACGGTGAGTGGCGCTGGTGCTGCGCGTGGCCATCCAGCCGTCCAGCAGGAGTCGCGCCACATCACCCGGGTGTACGGCTTCTACGGTGAGTGGCGCTGATGCTGCGCGTGGCTGCCCAGCCGTCCAGCAGGAGTCGCGCCACATCACCCGGGTGTGCGGCTTCTACGGTGAGTGGAGCTGCTGCGGCGCCATCCGGCCGCCCGGCCGTCCGACGGCGGCCGCGCCAGACGCCGCCGCGCTGCTTTGTGTGTACGTCGGTGGCCACTGCTTCTGTGGTGGAGAATCTATGCTCTGACTGTGTACCCAATTGCTAGCTGCGTTTTATTACAGGATGTGCTTCCGTGCTACAGCTGATGGTCCGTGAGCGCCATGTTGCCACTGATCTTATTGCTTTCACGGGCCGAGACCTCGCTGCACCCAGCAGCTATGCGAATGGATCGAAACCAGGCGCGTGAATTCCACATCTCGTGGATTTCTTTCCCCACAGATTATGACATATATGACGAGTTAGGTTTCTACTCAGAGAGCGCTGGGCGGTGGGGGTGGGGCTTGGGACAGATAGATGGCCAAAACGAAGTGATTCCAGAAGCTTATTGTACCGAATGCAAAAGACGCCATGGCCATTTTATGAAAACACACAAATTACAGTGATGATAAAGATGTCACATCTATCCCGAATCACTAGGATTTGGGTGATGCATAGCCTGTTCATGCCTTAAGGATTAGGTTGGTCACGATAATCAATAAGCTTTAAATAGACCATTCCGAACATTTTGTTTTGTGAACGCGAGGTTTGCTTCCTTGCCTTTGGACATCAGAGATTCCTGTTACACAGTTGTGTGAGCTAGTGGCTCGTATCATTGCATTAGGGTGTCCTTGGGCGAGATGAGAAACAAATTGGCTATGACATTCATGGCCATCTCTTCTATGGCTCGGCTGCTTCAGTTTATTGAATACGATGTTTACAGAGGGTCATCACAGAGCTGCACTCGCTTGATTATTCTTACCCCTTTGTTCCCAGACGAGTGTCAGAAAAAGTACGGCAACGCCAATGCCTGGAAGTACTGTTGCAAGGTGTTCGACCTGCTAACCATTGCTGCGGTGAGTGGTAGCTGCTATGTTACGACTTTCTCGGAAATATCTTTCGGTCCCCGTCACATTGAAACGAATTGGCAATGCCGTCTTTCCATTGGTGGAAGAGCCAGATGCCGCTCGCTATCAATCGTGACGGTCCAGGCCGCGGGCTGTGCAGTGAGTATGCTACCCGACGGCGTGCGTTTGGGCGGCTGTTTCGTGTGTAGGTTGGTTTTTGGTGGCACACTGCTCACCGAGCACTGATCAGGACCACGCGCTGACCCGGGGCACTGTGCCGCCGCGCTGTGCCCACGCTCACCGGTCGGTTCGTCGCCAGATCATCGAGGACGAGGTGTTGTGCGTACACGGCGGCCTCTCGCCCTACATCCGGTCGCTGGACCAGATCCGGGTGATCGACCGGAATCAGGAGATCCCGCACCAGGGTCAGTGCCCAGGGTCAGGGTCAACTGACGGCTGGTCGTCGGCCGGTGTGGCTCGTGTGCCGTCCTGACGTGAGACCGCACCAGAGTCAGTCCAGGGTGAGGGTCAATTGACGGCCGGCCGTCGGCCGGTGTGGCCCGTGTACGGTTTTGACATGTGAGACCGCACACACGACCGACCGGCGACGCTGCAGCGTGCTGCCGCAGATGGCCAGGTGGCAGGAGCAGCGAAAGCCCCACGAACGTCTGTGTGGACAGGGGACCCCTTTGCACCCCCACTACCTGTCCTGCGTTCGTTGGTGGGGTTTATATGGCCACGAATATGTGGAGGACGGCTTCGGTGCCCGGTGGGAAGATGTTTTAGCCACCGACTGTGACTCGGGCACCGCGGGCTCGTCTACTCTGCAAGCTTCTGTGTCGGGTTACGCTACGGCTCCCTGGACATGGGCGTCTTGTGACCCGGTGCGATGCGGTCCTGGAACAGGAGCGTCCCGTGGCCGGATACGATCCTGTGCTGACCTCTCTGTCAGTTGCTACGTGACGAGTGCAGTCGGTGTGCCCTAAAACCCAAATCATCGTCATGCCGACAGGGGCGTGTTGCTGCCTTGTGCTGCAAGGTGTTCGCCGCGCCGTGTCCCGGGACGGCGGCGTGATGTGACTCTGTGCCATCCGTTTCCCACCGTCCCGTTTGCAGAGGGGGGGCAGCGCCTCTATCCATGTCCGCTGCTATGTGTCTGTGAGTTGGACCGCCCTGTGACATGGCGTCACCCCACGCCAGCAGCTGCGGTGCCTCCGGACGGAGGTGTCGCGTGACCCCACACCGTGTGTGTCGTGCGCTCCCGCGGTGTCGTGTCCTGCGGTGTCGCGTGTCCTGCGCTCACCGCCCTTTGTCGGCGGACAGGGGCGTTCTGTGACCTGGTGTGGTCAGACCCGGAAGACGTCGAGTCGTGGGCCACCAGCCCTCGCGGCGCCGGCTGGCTGTTCGGGGCCAAGGTGACGCACGAGTTCATGCTCGAGAACAGCCTGAAGCTCATCTGCCGGGCCCACCAGCTGGTGAACGAGGGTGAGTGGGTGGCACTCCTGCCGTCGGTCCGCCTTCCCGCCTGCTGGATGTAGTGATATCAGCCCCGAGACAGGTATGATTTTCTCGTGATGTTAGAGCTGAGACAGGTACTGTGTTCCAGTGGTATTAGCGCTGAGACAGGTTTTGTACTCTGGTGAAATTAGCCTGAGACAGGTATCGGTTTCCAGCGATATTGGCGCCAAGACAGGTATTATGTTCTCGAGGATCGTCGCACGGATCCATTTCCCTCCGCTAACGCCTTCTTTCAACCTTTGCGCCATTATTTTGTCTATGATTGCTGTATCTCATTGCAGTTTACAGTAAGTATCACATCGATATTTACTTGGCACTGAACATAGCATTGACCTAGCTCACCATCCTTGAGAGGTAGGGAACGTCATCGCCTCCCAGTCACCGCCTTGTCCCCAGCTGTGACAATTATGTGATAGTTGCCACGAGAGAGCAACCTCATATTTGCGCAGTTGCCAGGGAACCTGTTGGGCGTGATCGCAGACATCAGGCTGCCCGCTTAATGACTCGACCTGGCATTGCGGGTGGAAACAGCGTGGTTTCACGTGATTGCCTCAAATTTCTCCTTGCCGTAGGTATGTTCTCGGGGTAAAACTACGAGCCATGACTCGGCGCCTCTTTCACAGGCTACAAGTACGTCTTCGACGAGAAGCTGGTGACTGTGTGGTCGGCACCCAACTACTGCTATCGCTGCGGCAATGTGGCGGCCGTGCTCTGCTTCAATGACATCAACAATAAAGAGGTGAAGATCTTCCGCGCCGTGCCCGAGGAGAACAGGAAGGTGCCGCCAAGCATCACCACGCCGTACTTCTTGTAGTGAGCGCTGTCGACAGATGGCGTTGATGTCGACGTGGGTGCTCAACCAACTGCATCTGCGTGAGATAACTGTCCGTGGTGCTTGCGCGTGGCAGTGCATGCTTCAGGCCGGACGGCGTGGTCTGGTACGTCGTTGGTGGTACCCGCCGACATCAGTTTTGGTGGACATGTGCACCCTCATGCATTCAGGGGTAGGGGCCCGTGTGCCCGAGTGAGCAAGACTCGAAGGACACGTGTGCTCACCAACGAGGGTGTTCTATGTGCTAGCGAGGGAGACGCGACGGGCGCGCGAGCTCAGTGTGCGCGAGCTCCGTTCGGTACGTGGGAGAGGCGAGACCACTCTCACCCGGGTGGCGCCCGATGGCACGGTACTCTGGGCAGTCAGCTCGGAGGAGTCGTGTCCAACGAAGGGACGATCGCTGTGGCTCTCTGTGGCTCGGTAGATCTTCGGTGTCGTTGGGGAGAGCTGCTCCCCTCGCGATGAGGGTAATTCTCACCCCACTCCGGCGGGCGGTGCTGTCGTCCCGGCGGTAGGCGGGCTCTGTCTCCCCCCCCCCCCTCGTGAGGCCGTGTCTGTGTGTGGATTGGTCAGGCTGGCGGCGCCCCCGCCCTGCGATGAGCGCGCGAACCTGAGTCCGCTTGGTTGTCGCTGATGGGGTCGTGACCTCCTGCACGGCCGGCGTCTCGCTGTAGTGTCTGCGGCTGGGACCGTGTGGCGTCCGGTCCCTCGGACGGGTCGCCCCCCCCCCCCCCTCCCGCTGGTGGGCGTCCGCTCGTCGCATTGTACCTGCATTGCTCTGTCCATCTT